CTCAGAAACTCAAGGACGCGGAATCGAACCTGTGTCACTTCAAAGAAAACTTACATACCTTCCCACTGGATCATTGGGACAACTGAAATAATTTATATTTATAAAAACATATATCCCATCTGTTTTTCTCAAAAAAAAAATGTGTCAATACATATATATTTATATATATCAATATAAACATACATTTTTATATATATAATTTAATATATAAAAATAAAAAAATTAAAAAATATAAAATATTATTTTAAAAAATTAAATGAATAAAATAAAATAAAATAAATTAAAATATATAAGGAATATTATATATATATATATATATATTAACAAAGCGTAATTTTCCAACATACTATATTTGTTTTTTTTTTTTCTTTTTATGAACATTCAAAAATGTGAATACAATTATTCATATTTCATTATTAAAAATATATATATTTATATATCTTTTTTTTTTTTTTTAAATTAAAATAAATTTGTTCATTATTCCTACAATAATTTGTGGAAAATAAATTATTTTCCTTAAACAAAGTATAAATAAATAAATATAAATATATATATAATATATATATATATATATATATATATATATATATATATAATTAAACAATAAAGATACTTATTTGAAGAAAAAAAAAAAAATTAAACCGCAATTAAAAAGAAGTTTATTTTAAAAAAATTTATAAAAATTAAATTAAAAGATGGCATAAATGTTGTATGTAATTATTAAATATATATTAAGAATGACCAATATGGACAGTTTAGAACAACATTTAAGAGCGTAAAAGGTTTGAAAACAAAATTATTAAGTAATAAAAAAAATATATAATAATAATAAATAAATATACAAATATATATATACACATATATATATATATATATATATATATATATATATATATATATATATAGACATATTAGTGATTTATTTATTTCAATTTATACTTTGAATGATTTTATAAATTTCATTTATATTTATATTTTAATTTTATTAAACTGTAATACATTTGAATAAAATAGTATATATGCAAGTAAATTGTATTCATAACAAGATATAGGATATACATATATATATATTTCTTTTTTTTTTTCTATCCTCAATATCTAAATTAATATATACATATGTCTTTTTTTGTGTCACATTCAATTTATATTACTGTATTTCTATAATATACCATACATTTTTCTTATTTAATAAAACATTTATTTTCTTTATATTATTCATATGAAATTCGTAATTGTTTTGTTTTCATTTATTATGAAATAATTAAAATTTCAATAAATTTTATAAAAAAAAATATAAATATATAAATATATATATATATATATATATATATATATATTCATTTATATAATGATTGAAAAGAATAAATAAAAATATATAAATTCTACGTTTTTGTATATAATGTATACTTTATTTGTCTTTATAAAGTATATAACATAATTTATTAATACATTTTATAATAAACTTATTTTATATAATATATAATTTGATCATTTCTATATATATAAATAAAACCATACTTATTTATTCCAATACAATCTTAAAATTTTATAAGGAATTTTTCATGTGTTATGATTAACAATTTATTATAACCTTGTAATTATTTTAACTTTGAAGAATTTATATATATATATATACATATATAATATTAAATTGTTAACATAAAGATAAATTACATATATAATTTTTTTTTTTTAACTTGAAAATTATAATTTATTTTATTTATTTTTTATTTTTTTTTTTTAACATTTTTTGATTATAACAAAATGGTATTTTTTTACATCATGTATAATTTAATTTTATACCTTTTATAAAAATATTTTTTTATTAACCCTAAAATATAAATAATATATTTATTAGGACAAAATAATTACAAATTCTAAATAATGATAAATATTTTCAATAATATATTTTATCATTTAAATAAAAAACAAATTTTTAGATTTCACAAATTTATACTATTTTAAAATAATAATATTTTATCCTTAAAAAATTATGTTTCATATATAATTAAAAAAAAGAAAAAAAAAAAAAAAATAGTTAGTATAATATATATATATATATATGTATATTATATTCATGTACCAATTATCCATTTTATTTTATCTTACTTTATATTGCTCTATTTTTTTTTTTTTTTTTTTTTTATTCATTTCTTTATATATTTTATTATATACATTTATAATATAATAAGAACAAAAAATAAATAACATATTTTTCATGCCAAAAATATTTTTATATTTATATATTTATATTATATATATAATATATTTATTTATATATAACAATTATTTTCTTACGTATTATTTTTTAAAATAGAATAAATAGAATAAAAGAAAAACAATTGAAACAAAAACATAATAAATTAATATATAAAATAGAAATATTTTTGTGATATAGATATAAAAAATAATAAATTAAAATTTAACATGATTGTGGACATGTTTTAAAAAAATACTTAGAATTTATTTTAACATAACATAGAAAGAAATTAATAGATCCATAGAAAATAGTCAAGGGACCTTTTAAATTTCTAAATTAATATTTTGTGTACAGTAATAATTATAAATTGTATTGCTTTTTTATACTGAATTTATACGGAGAGATAAACGAGAAAATAAATTGTATAACTAGAAAATTATTATTTTTTTATACAAATCAGAGAAGTTAATTAAAAATATTATAATTTTCTTATTAATTTAAAGAACGATTCACGTTTTTTTATAAAAAAATATTTTTTATTTATATATTAATAAAATAAACATATGTTTTTTTTTATAATATATATATATATATATATATATATTATATATATATAATATATAATTATTATATTTATATGTACATAGAAAAAATTAAAATATAAAATGGAAACAAAAAAAAATATATGTACTTATTATATATATATATATATAATTAGTACAAAATAATATTTTCTTAAGGTTTGTCAACACTGCATTTTATTTTATTTTTTTATATTTTATGTACTATATATATATATAATATATAATATGTATATATATAAATAGTAGTACATTATTTCACACTGTATTTTTTAAAATTCGTAGATTTCCTATTTCTATTTATGGTAAAAAAAATAACAAGAAATAAAATAATAGAACTTGTATATATTTTTTATATAACATTAGAAAGGACATTTTTCTTTTTTTATTGGGAAGAGCATATTTTTTATTTAATATTTATATATGTAAATAAAAAAAAACAAAAATAATTAATATAAAATGTACCTATATATATATTATATATATGTTTAGATATTTTTTTTTATAAAAACTTATTTAGTATATTTATATAATCCCATACATATATTAATATATTTATATATATTTATATAATACATATATATACATATATAGAAAATATTATATATATATTTTATATATATAAATTTTTTGTTTTTTTGTTTTTTTGTTTTTTTGTTTTTTGTCCTTATAATATAATCCATTTTATAATTTCCCTTTTTTTTTTTTTTTTATAAATAATATATATTAATTAATATATATAGAAAAATGATTTAAAAAGAAAAAAAAAAAAAAAAAAAATATTTTTTTTATTAATTAATAAATATTTATATATATAAATATATATATATAGATATATAGATATATACAATATATAATAATATATTGAAATATAATTTTTATTTAAAAAAAAAAAAAAATTATTTGATTTAAACTTATTTTAAATATCATTCTAAAATATATATTATATATACAACAGTAAAGTAAATTTTTATAACGGAAATACTTACAATATAAAAAAATAATAAACAAAAGGTTAATATAAATATAAAAAGGAACTAGAAATTTATCAATATTTGTAATATTTGATAAATAATATATATATTAATATTTTTCAATATATTTCAATTTCCCACCTAAGTGAATCTATAAATCTATATATATATATATATATATATATATACATATATATATAATATCTATTTAATATAATATATAGATACCATAATTTTATTTTATTATTTTTTTATTTATTTTTAATTTAGGATCTATATATCTTATTTATAAAATAAGAGAAAAAAAAATTACATATATTTTCCTTAATTTTATCAATAAAAGATAATCAAAATGGTGGACCATTTATTGGATTTTAATATGTATGGATCCCAATTACACAATTTGTTACATAATGCATTTTCAACATGCTTAGAAGAATCAGAAAGAACATGCAAACGTACTTATGTAATTGCTATCCTTTTAGCTTTTCTCGTTTTACACGCTCTTCTTTACATGAAATATAAAAAAAACTTTAAATTGGTAATAATATTAAAATAAAAATAAAAGTTATTTGTATTATCAGTACGTTGTTAATATCTATTATACGTGATATTAGATACATATATATATATATATATATATATATATATATATATATATATATGTATATATGTATATAGTCATTTATATATAATTGTAAATATTTGGAATACTTGTGTGTATTCATATTTTTTTTTTTTTTTTTTCTCTTTCAATTTATACAGAGTGGTTTATTTAAAAAATCCAAGAAGAAAACCAAATTGTCAAAACACCATGAAGAAGATGAAGACGAAGACGATCATCATCCTCAGCGTCACTCATCTTTACCAAATGAACGTAAAACCTCCTTCCCATCTCGTCAACCAGCTCGTTCCCATTCATCAAGTTCATCTGTTTTTGCTTCAGCCAATGCAGAAAATTAAAAATGTGCAATAAAATAAATCTATTAAGTCAATAAAATAAAATAGGAAGAAATATATGAATATAAATGCAAATAAATATTTATTTATTTGTTTGTTATCACATCAACATTGTTACAACGATATATTTTCATACACATAATATATAAATTTATATGTAAGATGATATATATATTATATACGTTGTATATATATTATTTTTCTTTTTAATACCTAATATATTCTGGAACCATATGAAAAATATTTATTAGGATATACAATGTTCTTTAGAAATTACCAAATGATGAATTACTGACAAAAAAATAATATAATATAATATAATAAAATAATAACCCCTATATAAAAATGTTATTCTTTTTTTTTTTTTTTTTTTTTAATTTTG